CAGTAGGTTATTTAATTTTGTTTGATATGGTACGAAAGCTTCGTGATTCTTCGCAGCGAATGCAACGGGACAAAACTATTGCCAATCAGTGACGGATAACGGCCTTCAAAAGCTTAGATCGGGGAGGAGGTGGCTCTATTGTTTTCAACCTACGTCTGCCTGACAGTGTGACGTCACATAGTAAATGGTTTTGATTAGGCTTTTGTACATTATGCTTTTGCTTCCCTACTAAAATGCTCCACCTTAATGCTCCATTTTTCCCACTAAAATGCTCGGTCTCCCCAAAAAAGTCACTAAAATGCTCGGATAACGCTCATTATACAAACGGTTTTTTTAAATTAATTTCAAAGTTTACACTCACAAAAACGTGCAAGTGTTGCAAGTAACAACGACAACGTTTACAAGTTCATAAATACAGCCAAAAAAACCAGCTGTATTAGGTTTTTTGTGAATTTTGAATTTTAGTCTTCATTTTGTTTAAAAAAGCAGGAGCTCATGGGGCATGGGCTCCTGAAAAAAGTTAATTTCTATTCTATTTTCTCAGAAAAATTAATTTTCCGGGAAAAATGCCACTAAAATGCTCCAATAATGCTCAATGCTTTTGCCTCACTAAAATGCTCGAAAAAATGCTAGCATAATCTACAAAAGCCTAGTTTTGATATAACAAATTAATTTATCGAAACATGTGAGGTACTGTGGTGCAGTGGTCAAGGAGTTACTTGCACGTGCGGATGAACCGGGTTCGACTCCTATGATCTTCGTGGCAACTACATTCTTTCTCTTAGTAAACCTAAAACAACTACCTATGGTCTTAACTCCTTTTCTTACTTTTCAGCTAAGCAGCGGAATGCACTGCCGGACTTTTCTCGTACTAGTTTTTTTGCAGACTCAACTCAGACTTAACTCAACGTCACTTTAATCATCCTACCGCCGTTTCAGACCACCTCTCTCTCCCATATCATTCCATCAAGGAGATAGAACTTATTCTGTTAGAACTAATTAATTCAGACAGGGACGGTATCCGTAAGGCCAGCGAAGGATTTTTAATTTGGAAAGGCAAAACACTTGAACCCTATGGGATGAGCAGACGAGATAAAATTTAATCTATTGCCACACATTCTTATAATAACCTCTTTATGCAACTTTTCGTCTATTGTACTTGTCCACCAATCACATTTTATTTTTATATTTGTGTTACATTAAATACTGTAACCGTTTATTCTATTCTCACTTGGCTTTTCTAGCCCCTGATGAAGATTAGTTTTGTCTACTCGAAATCTTGGGCAAATAAATATGTAAATTATCAACCCTTTCTTACCTTCAATTTTAACTGCAATAGCTGTGGTCACACTACATACTTTTTACCTAGGTAAACTCGACTTGTTGACAGTTTACCAACGGAAACTTGATTTTTTAAGTGTGACCGATTTTCCCCAGATAAAAACTTACCTAGTGGAAATTTTTGTCTTCTGGGGCTTGGATATGTCTCGAGAACAATAGAGTTTCCCTTGACAGCTACCCCAAAGCGATAGCTAGGGAAAAAAGAAATACCGAAGTTACTAGCCAATAGCCGCTCATCGGCAAAGGTCTAGATGACAGAACCGGACATAGCTTACGCTTTGAAAGAAATTTTGGGGGCACGAGTCATCTACGTCTTCGCCCGTCTTCACCTTTGCACGTTGAATTAGCGTAAGAAATAACAGTGAGATAAAAGGAAAAAGCATCTCTTTCACTCTCTATGGAAACCTCTCCTCTGCTTACTATAAGTTTTAATTATATAATCACCATGGCTCTTTTGTGTAAAGTAGTGTACTTTATTTATCTATTTATTCAATGTTTTGTTTTGTCATACTTTGTAATGTTTGCAATAAAGTGTTGAAGCATTTTAAAAAAAAATCTCTTTGCTCGGCTAGATCCCTGCTCGTCTTGCCTTCTTGAATTTACCTCCCAAAAATTCAACTGTGCGTGAAAACCTTTGGAGCCGATATCAGTAGACTCTCAGTAGTGTGACCTTCACAGAATTTTTTACCGTGGTAAAAGAAAACCCGAGATGAATTCACCTAGGGAGAGTTTTTGCCCTAGGTAACTCGGTTTTACCTATAGGTAAAGTCTGTAGTGTGACCACAGCTACTGAGTACGTTTTCGCTTCTGTCGCCGTAGTGTTGCAAAAGGAATAATTTACTAGGTAAGTTACGTTTTCTTTACTCTCGCCGTTGTGTTGCTTAAGAGCTCTACTTTCATTTCTGCCAGATCCTACATCAACACCAGCACGAACGCCAACACCAAAATCAACCCCAACACAAACAGCAGCACTAAGCTCAACCTTAACAGCAACACCAACCGAAACACCAACGCCAATAAGAAAACCGGCTTCAATACCAAAGGCAACACCAAAACCAAAATTGCGCTGCCTTTTGTGCCATTCGGAAAATTCCTGGGAGCACTGTGACAAGGAAAGTAAGGTGGTTAATTGTCCACCCGGTTTCGATGAAGCCTGTCTTACAATGAAAATGAATGAATGGGAAAAAAAGAATGGAACCAAGACTGGCAAGGTACTCACACGCTACCTGAAACACTGTGCCGCGCTTCAACTTTGTTCCGACGCTCAATGCAAAGAAATTGGATCGCAATGCACGGTGGAATGTTGTACAGAAGACTTGTGTAATTCAAATGCTGCTGTTTTGGCAACATCATCACACCATCACAACATCATCACACTCATTCTGACCGCCATCTTGGGTCTGGCAACTGTCGACGTATATTAAGTTAACTTTAACCATACCATAAACAGAGTACTCGTGCACCTTAGGGGTGTACTTGTTTTGTTCTTGTTCACAAAAGCTGGCATATATATAGGTCCTCAAACTTTCTTGAAAATTTAATCTCGGGCTAATAATACTGCTCCAGCTAATCAGCCTGACACCAAACCTTGCTTCTACCCGGATCACGTACCATGTATAAAAAACGCGTTGTTACTTATTCGCCAGGAAGGCTAATCTATTACTGCATCGGTTAAGTTATGTATAAACAACCTACTTTTGATTGCTTTCGAGGACATTTGCACAAGTTTAAGCTTCTACGGCAAACGGCAAAAGTCAGATCGAAGTTAAGAATTTCTCAAAATAGAAAATAAGCAGATAAAAACAGCTCAAAACAATTCTTATGGATAAAAAATTGTGTGAAACTGCTAAATTTTGCGTACAAATAATTAATCATAAACGACAAGTAAATGGGAAACTTTGTCATGTGGTACAAATTCGCGTTTGACGTAAACGTGATGCTTAACCTCTCCAATAATGGTTTTGTTCAAGTTAGAAATCTATAGTTTGACCGCGATACTAATGTCTTGATGTCTGTTTTATTTCTCTTCGGTATTTTGTTCCAATAGAAAGTGTGTTATTGACTTATTAAATAACATTACCCGTTTACTTGGTAATACAGACACTACAGGGAGCTTAAGCAACGACGACGGCGACGGTAACGAGAACGGCAAAAAAGCAATAGGTTTAAATTGGCAAAACAACAACTTTGCACGTGCATCACGCTTTTTTGCACATTTCTTAGCCGTCGTTGCACCACTAATTTTAATTTCACGTTTTGTGGGGGACGGGCCACAAGACAACGACCCTCTTTTTCTTTTCCTGAACTTTAATACAGTCCTTTAGAATTCAAATCCAGAAAAACTCTGCAACATCTGATGAATAGAACTGACGTTTTCGTAGCGGTCGCCGTCGTTGTTGCTTAAGCTCCCTACTTTCCCTCTGTAACCGTACTAACAGTCTTCGACGACCGATTAAATTTTAGTGTTGAAAGAAAAACACTGTCTGTTAACTAACGTTATGAGAATCAGGTTGGCCCATTCAACCGTCAACGATAAATTGGCGTCCTCAGATGTTAAATTTTCAAAAATACAAGGAGAAAAACAATGATTAAATACAAAATTGGAACAACTGAAATTCGAAGTCATTATGCTGATTTTAAGCTGTCCAAGCAACAAACGTTCTCAAATTATAGCTATGCGGCTGTGTCAGTTTACGCGTCCTTATTCGCTATATATGGACCTTGAGAAAATTCTTGTGAATGACAACATCAAAGCTTCTTCCCGAACAAATACGTCTCCAAAGCAATATATCAAACATTGAATACTAACAACAACAAAACATTGTGAGGCTAAAAATTTTTCAAAAATCACAATTGCAATCCGTTTTAGTCTTCTTCAAGTTTGCCCATCCGTGTCTCCTTTTGTATGATTTCTGTGTCATTTATACCTTCTTTTCCTTAATTGAACAGTAATATTTATGTTTCACGCAAACTGGTGGCAGTTCTCACTGCTTGAATTTTGAGACATCTCATGACACAGGTCCTTCAATCTGGTAAAGAATTGATACACATTGCGCTTTAACCTCCAAACGATCTCTTTTCCCTACTTAATGCTAATGGGCTTAAGCTACTGAAGGACATTTCTTCCTCTAATACAAGAATCACGCAGGGATCCGTTTTGTAAAAAAATATTGAAAAATATATCGATCCTCGCAAGAATTTAAGTGAAACTAAACTACAGTATACATGCGCGCATTTTTTCTCTGGAAGGCTATAAAGCACAATACTGACCACAGCACCAGTTCAACACACACAGAAAGTGTGGACTTGACCATAACCATCTTGTAAGGCTTTCAGCCCCAGATTGTCATTTATAATAATTACTTGCCACTGGCGGATTTGATATGTTATATCCAAGAAAGATTTTCAGTTCGTCTAACGCGACGCCCAATTATACAATCTTTGACACAAAAAATGCGAGATTTATCTAGCTCTTGTCTACATTAAAAGCGTGCTGTATTTGTTTCGCAGTGCCTTGCAATAAGAAACAACACAAAACATCGAATGGTTTATGGAAAAATATTTAAATGATGCAAAAGTGTCTTTTAAAAACCGTCTCCTTGCACCACGCGGCAGACGGCGGGTAAAATAGGTAAAACAAAATGCTCAAAGTTATGCGTCTAGAAACGAACGTTTTTCCGCAGGGTGTGCTTAACTTCAGGCATCTGTTTACACAGTTTGATTTCATTCCTATTCTTCCCTGATGGTCGCTCGGCTTCCATGTTACCGACTTTCCGGTTGACTACTGTTAAAATGTCGAGAAGGTGATCATAAACTGCACGTTCATGGAATGCCTTAACGAGGCCGCGAACATAGAGACTTCCTAGATCCTCATTCCGGTACGACACATACTCATCCACTGTGGAAAAAGCGTACAAGAAATCTGCATGTGTGGGTACTTTGGATGCAGGTTTCTTCACTGCGTCACTAGGGGAATCAACTTGGTTGGGACAAAGCAGATCGTAAGATGAAATATCGGTATCAGCGGCAACAGACACCCCCTCGTCTTCTCCGTCACCTCTGCACGCCTGGATGAAAAACAGTTTTGGCTTACCGCTTAGCGTATCGCAACTGCTGAACATATCTTGAAGAGTCTGAATAGGTATCGTGTTGCCGTCAGAACAGAACACCTCACCACTTCTGCCATGGCTCATGAGCCACAGCACAAAACAATCATAAGCACTGTGATCCTGGCAAGCAACTTTGCTGAGTTCGTCTAAGAGTTGTAGCCTTGTAAGGTTCTCTTTCTTTCGTACCGTAAAATCAAGGGCAGTAAATAGCGTTTCAACTTGACGAACATCTTCCTCTGAGCCATGGCGAGTTGATAGTGTAGGATCACGATCACCAAACGAAGTATTATTAATGATCAGAGTTCTTCCTCTTGGGTGAGCTGTCATGTTGTAAACGTCGTCCGTACCAGGATGATAACCAGGACGGATAACTGTGCAAAAAAAGGGGAAAGATAAAATTGATATGTCTCTCAGTATTATCTATTGCTGACCTGAATTTCAGTTAAACAAATACGACTTTAACATATATTGGACTAGATATTAGATAACAGGCTGAATCTATACATATACAGTGTGACCCGTTACACGACAAACTACGTTTTTCTGGCCCAAACAAGTCCGGTTATTTCCTTATTCTACAAACTCGTTAACACTACCGCCCTGTTATTACGACCAACGGCCACTTTTTGTTGTTTCGCAATGTTCTCCACAAGTATCTCTTGAATTAACACGAACGGCAGTCGAGTGCCTAGTGACGTTCTGGTTGGCAAGTGAGAAAAGACAGAGTTATCAAGTTAACATAACGTTTCTTGACGGAACAAAAAAAAATAAAAAAGCAATTTTTTCTCACTTTTTACTATCATTTCCATCTGTGACTAGAGTCTGATTTCCCTTTCCTACATTTGTACATATGCATTCTTAGGTATCAAGTAATCTAACCTTTGAGTGCAAACCATTTTTCCAGTCCAATAACTGTCGGTACTTTAACGCAGAGGCTATTTGAACAAGGTCTGAGTTGCCCTTCTTCGAGAGTTTTAAGAAGACACAGACAATCCTCGTGGTCACATGAAACGGAATCGTGATTTGAACACATTTCTTCCTTCTGCTGACAGCCAGGACATACAACACAAAAAGCACACTTTAAGTTACTCAACCAAGGAAGCTCACGTCTAAGGTCTTGTACTGTATCTTCCAATAACGTTCGCACAAGAATCGCCACCTCTCTTACTTCGTTGAATGATGCTCCTTGGACTGGCTCTGAATGCGTCAAAGTGACCTTTATGAATCTTTTCTTGCGCAAAAGAATCAACTGATGAATGGAATTCTTCTCTATGACAAACCTGGATGCCGCGAGAAAAAATCTCGGCGGTTGCTTGAATCCACTCTTAGTGTACCATTTGGTGATTCGTGACACAAGCTGCCAGAAGAAACCGTGAGGAACAAAACCCCCCGAGAAGTGCAGGTACAATGGACACGGATCTGAATGTGATGGCTCCATTTCACAAAGGTCTTCAGGTGGCGTCTTTAGTTGACAGGGTACAAAGTACATTTCATTTGTTGGCGAGGTGATAAACTTGACGATCAATCCAAACTGCTCCATCATGTTCAGGATATCTTCCTTGATCAGACCTTGCTGCTGACAGCACTTGGAGAACACGTGATCAACTAGCTCCATGTGTAGGGAACCTGTCTTCTCCATTTCTTTCCATAACTGGGAATGTCTTGGTTCCTAAAACCAAAAGAAGGCAATTCTTCAGGGAATCAGGGATTAACAAAACGTCATACCTATTAACGACCTTAGCGTCTTTATCTTTTTCTTGGGTGCTACTTCAAAGACCGAAATAGAGGATTTAGATGTACTACAGGGTGCGAACATAAGCAGAATTAAAACAAGTATGGATTAGGTAAATGTTTTGGCGGTGAAGTAAGTTCCCGAAGAGGGGCGCCTCGAAAGTGCAAGTCCCGTAATCAGTTGGAGAGGTAATGTAAAGCTTAGGATCGTACATTTATTAATACATCTGGGCCAGGTTGTTCAAAGCAGGGTTAAGATAACCCAGGATTAGTGCGAAATTTGAATTCAGATTTCAAAGCTCAAAAAGCAAAATCAGTTTTATTGTTTTTGCCTGCGGTTTGATGATTTGATGCCCTAAAAAGAATAGAGAAAATAATCCGGGACAATTCTTTTGAACAAAAGAAAAAGAAACCTGGGTTGAAATTTAACCCTGGGTTAGCGCTAATCGACCTTCGAACAATTGGGCCCTGGTTAGTACATAATACATTGAGTTTCAGCAGATATAGACAAGTACTAGTTATCCTTTGACACCATTTAGAGTTAATTTGCAAAAGGCAAGCCGGCAAAGGGATATCGTAAGGTTTTTTGTTCATTTGCTCGTTGTTTTCTCGTTGCTTGTGAAATAAATACACCTTTTTTGGTGGAACACATAAAAGACGTTGACGTCATAAATAAGACGTTTGACGTTAAGGTAAGCTCGAACCTCGTTCCCAGGGTCCTCTCTCTTGCTTCGAGAAAGAACCCGGTTGCGGCTGGTCACGTGGCTCCCAGAATCTGGAAGCCAAAAATAAGGGAGGGAAGAAGAGCAAACAGTTGTCGCTATGACAAAAGTTACTCTGTCAAGGCCCGAGAGGAGATTGCCGCCTCGTTTATTATCGGCTGATGGCGCGAGTATTTGAAAAGGTCAACAAGACCCCCCCAAAATAGTATTGCATTAAAAAAAAAATAGTATTGAGGGGAACGAGGTCAGCTATTCACTTGGTATATCGTACACCAGCCGAAACATTCAAAGCGGATGTAATTCATGTAAACCTGACTATTGCACTATTTACAGCGTTCTTACCCAAGCGAGTATAAGAGGGATCGCACAAATGCATTCATTTCCATTTCGATAGAAGTTTCGACTACTAACGGTTATGGCTGCTTCAGCTGCTAACGAAGCCCAGTCACAAGGACCTCAGGTATCTCGTGCTCCACAGGCTAATGTGGTCCAGGATATTCTTAATTTTTTGTTGCCTCATGGCCGATGTATTTATTGCATTTTTATTACTTTTATATACAATAGAGTTTGCTTGGTAAAATAGCTTTAGTTTTTCGCTTTTGTTTTGCTGGCATCTAGTTTCTTATCTGCTTATTTTTGTTCCTTATGACTGGTGTTTGTCGTATTATTTATTTTTACTCTTTCTGGTGATAATTCAATTTGCTTTAGTTTGTTTTGTTTTGTTTTTTTTCGGTGTTAGAAGTTCCTTAATTTTGTTTGTTACGCTTTGCGCTTTGCATAGTTGCTACACTTTATGGAGTTGGCATTTTACTTGGTTTGCTTTCAGGCATGACCAGTTTTATTAATTTGTTTGTTAACTGATGGCCCATGTAATTCATTGCCCTGTTATGGAATTTTAATCAATCGGTATTTTAATTTTATTTATTCGTCAGTTGCCTCGTTACCGGCGTCTTCTTCCCGGAGCTACCTTCTCCATTTTTGTTTGCCCTTTTTCCTTTTCTTTTAGCCCCCTTCCAAGCGTTTTAAGGGTGCCTCTCCTACCATTCCACAGTGGGAATTTACGGCGGATTTCGACCCTACAAGTGTTATCAGTCCTTCAGCCGTCCAAACCCCGTTTATGTAATGACAACCGTTTTCTCAATTTGTGGATCAGGGACATGCCATTTCGGCCAAGACAGGATAAAGGGCACAGAGAAGGCATCCCCCATACACACCCTATTCCATAGGTAATTCGTCTCGAGTTATTTTTAGAATCGGGATAAAGTTACCTCGCGCGCTGCGTGGATGTTTCGCATGACTAAACGCCATGCAAAACATGTCGGGCGAAAAGCAATGAAAGCGTAAAGAGATCTAAAACATTCCTGAATATTGAAGCGAAATGAGTCGGCGCTCACCTGGGAAAAGGGAATCGCTAGACTCTTTGGCAACCCGAGAAATCAGTTTAACTCGAAGTTGTCGTAGCCTCAGTGCTTTAATAAATTGAGAAATGTCGCCGGTCTATTGAAACCGGTTGTTTGTACAATAAAGCAAGCAGGACGCCAAGTGTTATTTTTGTTGAATAATAAAAGACTAATAAAGGAATAAATATCAAACTAGAAATTGTTCTCTTCAAACTATAAATTATAAATGATCCTGAGAGAATATTCAGTGTGTTAAGGATTTCCCTGCTGTACTGTTAGCTCTATGCAAGAGAGGAAGGGCGATTCTTTTTTAATTTCCGTTTCGCTGACACAGCTTTAGCAGAAATCTCTCTTTAGTCGTTTTCGTCGACAAAACAAATAGCAATATCGCTCTCCGCGTCTTCCGCCATTTTTTCTGCGTCAATTCGTGAAGGACGCGTGGCTCTGAGCGTGGGTCATCCACGCGGAACACATTCGAGCTATGTGATTGGCTGCTGTCTAATCACCCTTGGGATCTATGGTCTTAAAAATAACTCGAGACGAATTACCTGTGGAATAGGGTGTGTGGGGGGGATGCCTTCTCTGTCCCCTTTATCGTCTCTTGATTTCGGCTTGATTCACTTTTAGGGCTCCCGCGTTACGTTTTCCCATCTTCTTTCCAATCAGTCTGTGACGATAAATCAGGCTACAATCACGTCCTGCTTACCCCTGAAAGCCGTCCATATTTTGGTTTCCAGGGGGGGTGGCTGGCACTTCACTAGTAACACCATTCCTTTAGGACGGAAATCGTCTGCCTGTATTTACCATTGTATAGGTCTCGCTTCTCATTATTTTCCTTCCCTCCTTAAACCTTGCTCCTTGTAAATTGAGGACCGTCATACGGATGAAATTCAGCTCTCCCCTAAGACCTCGGCTTACGCCTCTCTTTCCTCAGACGCGGACAGATCATTTACTCGTGCTTGCTCCGCTATTTTCGTGCTTTGTTATACGCTAGTTGATTTTGGTTATTTTATTGGTCTTAAGAAATCACACCTGGTTCCTAAGCAGGTAGTCCCTTACCTTGGTTTTTTGGTGGATTCTGTTCATCAAGCCTTTTTGCTTATGGAGGAAAAGAAGCAAAACTTCCTTTCTCTTTTACGCTCTGTTCTTAGTTCGCCTTCTACAGATCTTAAGACACTTCAGCGTCTCTCTGGAAAGTGTATTTCCCTCTCTTTGGCAGTTCCCGGGGCTCGTCTTTATCTCAATGATATCTATAATGCTATTGTGAAGAGCCAACGTCACGGTTCTTTTAAGCCTATTCTAGTTACTGGCCCATTGAAACACGAGCTTGAGGGGTGGTTGTTTCTCGAGTCTTCGTCCGGCTACATTCCTTGGCTTTTGGAGACCCATCATCAGGTCAAGTTATGTTCAGATGCCTCCTCCTTTTCTTGGGGCTGTGTTGTTGGCCCTGATACCTTTTCAGCCACCATTCGGGATTACTGGCCTTTTGATCAAAGTCATCTCCACATTAATGTTAAGGAGGCTTGGGCCCTCGCCAATGCCCTGGATGCATTTTCCGGTTCCTTGCGTGATAGTTGGGTGGATGTTTATACTGATAGCCAGGTTCTTATCTCATCCTGGCGGCGTCAAGGTGCAAAGTCTCGCGACCTGGTCGTCGCCTCAAAGCGTGTCTTTGGGATCATTTCCTCTTGTAATATTCACCTCAATCTCTTTTACATTCCCTCCGCTGCTAATCCCGCGGACCCTCCTCCCTCCGTTTTGTCGTTGCAGGATTCTAAGCTTTCCCCTTTTGCCTGGGGTCAAGTTCAAGCCAGATTTGGTGGCCAATTTGGTCACTCCGCAGATTTGATGGCTCTCCCTTCTAATCTGCAGTGCGCTCTGGATGGTTCTCCCGTTTCCTTTATTTTCTCCGTATCCTGTTCCCGGTTCTTCAGGGGCCAATTTGTTTGCCCAGCGTCGTTACAACCATGGCCACGTTTTTTCAAACCCCTATGTTCCCCCCCCCCCTATTATTCTCATTCCCCACGTCTTGCCGTTTTGTTAAAAGTCAATCCTTTCCTTGTACCACTGTTGTCCCTGACATTCGTCCTCGAAAATTCTGGTGGCCTCTTTTGCAATCATATTTGTCTTTCCGACTTGCTCCCAAGGGTACCCTCGGAATGGTTCTTCCCCCCGCCTCTGAAGGATTTTTTCCGCGTTCGCCCCTCCCTTGGGATTTGTAGGCGTTTCGTATTGATCCGCTTCAGAATATTCTTGAATAGAAAAAAATAAAAATTCGGTTAAGTCTGTTCACATAATTTTTCTACATTGGTTCGTCATCTTGGACTTTTTGCTATTCATAGGGACATAAGCTACTGTAATGAGAATGTGTTACGCGTGATAATTAAAATTCAGTTTTTTGGCACCTCCTGTATCTTTTTGTCTCCTATCTCATACCCCTCTAACCATTCTTCCTTTTCTCTAGGCTCTTCCTCATGTTCCGCGCTTATTCGTCCCAGCAGTTGCGTGCCCATCTTGCCACTGTCCCAATGACCATATCTTCAAGTTTGTCAAAATTGTGGTTATGCTAGGCGTCGTGTTCACACACCCGTTCCCACGGCATTCAGTTTCGACCTCCCTGCTATTGATCTACGTATCAGCTCTCTACAGACAGCAAGCCTTTCGTCCGCTTATTCCTGGCAGAAACAATCTTTAGAGGCTGAGCTTTCTTTACGCCCTCCCTGGCAATATAAGCCTTTTTTGATGCCACCCCCTAGATGTTTGCCGCTTTTTGGTTTTCAAGGACTCAAAAGGTAAAACCCAAGTCCACAACATAGGATGTCCACATCTTGGTCACGGGGGTTCTTTCCCTTGCAAGTGCCCTTTGCGACTGGCATACTCCACCGTTGATTCATACATTGGCAAGTTGCGCTCTATATTTTCCGACATTGGTCGTCAAGGTGACTGGAATAGGACTCTCCTTTTTGGTAACCCGGTCTCCGATTTGTTAGTAAAGCAGTACCTTAAAGAGTTCACCGCTGAGCAACTCCGGACCAGCATTGCCCCCAAGCAGGCTGTGCCACTTTTTGCTGACAAATTGCTTTTGCTTTCTCGACAGATCGAAAAGGGTCTTCTCCTCTCGTCCCTTTCGCCAACTGAGATGTTCGTCACCGCCAGAGATCAAGCATTCTTCAAGGCTCTTTTCTTTTCTGGTGAACGTGGCGGGGATCTGTGGTAAGTTAAGACCTCGGATATTGCTCGTTTCCCTGATGACAATGGATTCTTATTTAATCACATTTGAGGAAAGACTTTGAGGGATGGTGCCTGCAACCTCTTTGGTATGCGCCGTCACCCCAACCCAGCATCATGCCCTATTAAGGGTACTGAAACTTATGTGTCGATTGCTCGTGAACTTGGCATTAGCCTATCTCCTGGGTACTTTTTTCGTGCGACAAATCCTCAGGGGCATATTGTTGATAAACCCCTTTTAAGCTCCGCGGCCGACTCCCGCCTTAGAAAATATCTTCGTGATGCTAACATTTACGATGGGGAAACCCTTCACAGTTTTCGTTCTGGCTGTGCCCTTACCCTGGCTTTCTCCGGTTCCCCTTTGGCTGACATTATGTCTCACGTTGGCTGGTCAAATTCCAAAACAGCTTTGTACTACTCAAGTTAGCTGACGTTATCAGGGCTTGGGCCCCAGCTGACCTACTTACTTCTGCACCTTCGCAGTCTCAGGAGGCCTCTCGCATTTATGAAGATTACAACGCCTTAAAGGATTTTGTCTCTGCTTTCCCTGTCTCCTACTCGTCTTCATTCAAGCGTGCTCTTCCACCCTAATTTTCCCTTTGTCTGATAGTTTCCTCTAGCTTTCAGTTTTGGGGTTTTAGTATGGGGTTTTCTTTGAGATTGGGCTGTTGGTCTCCGCGTTCTGGATACCTGGCGCTCTACATGTCATTGTTCTCTGTGGCCGCCAGACTTCCATACCTCAACAGGAGGTGCGGGTAAGATCGATGTAAATAGGATACTATTGCATTATCTTTTCCTTTTCACGATCTGCACGTGCGGAGTATGCAAAGTTACCAAAAGCTGGTTTTGCATGTGCAAATGGAGCAAGATTTTTCGTATCCTGTTGGCAGGATGGCGAGCAAACCTTTTTTCAAGTACAAACTCTCTAAACAAATAACTTGTTTTGCCTTCAAAATAATGTTATCGTAACTAGCCGAAAGCGAGTTTGCACGCAACTCAGAAACTCAAGCGCCATTTTGAAGCAATAATTTTTTCCCTACCCCAGAGGATATTTCATCGTCCAGTCTACAAAATGTATTTGAGGACCTACGCCTGCTGTGCATTTTATTGACACACATTTCCACGTGACCAGCCGCAACCAGGGTCCTTTCTCAAAGCAAGAGAGAGAGCCCTGGGAACGAGGTTGGGTAAGCTCCAACTCGTATGTCAGGCCTAAAATCACACGAGTTAAAGTGCAAGTTGGGTTGGCTGCCGCTTCGCTCATTGCACACATTTAATTTTTCCGGCTCGGGTTCACTAATATTTAGCCAGTTTTAAGACTACATATGTCAACAAAAAACTCACTTTCACGCCATTAAAATAATTCTAATGAAAGTTAATCAGTGCCTTAAACTCTAAAAAACGTGTAAACAAATTGCTCTGAATCCTCACGGGGGGATCTGCAATGCCGAGTTGGTCTTTTGGGTTTAATATAATCAAAAGTCTATAATCATCATCTAGGTAAATAAATGCGTTACGGATTTTCTGCGGCAATGGCAATGCAGAGAATTTATGACGGTGTGGGATGGCGCTTTCTGAGGAGGGGATTGCAGTCATTATGCTTCATAAGACAGTAAATGTGGATATAATTAAGCACTTGAATATGTTTCACTTACCATTTCGTTAAAAGAACGAATGGTTATGAGTTGTCTGAAGACCTCAATGAGCCACTGAGCCCGAAGTATAACTGTGCTGCGGTGCATGACAATCACGCCAAGGTCATGATAAAAATCCAACATGGTGACAACTTCATCCTTGTCTTCAATGAAGCAAACTTTCTGGATAATATCTTGAAGTTGTTCGAGTTTTAAATAATACACTTTCTCAGCAATTAAAGCTTTGACAACCTTCTCGAAGTTAAACCATCTGAAAACCAAAAGAAAAACAAGATCTTAAAGAGGAAGTTAAAGCATAACTGAAACACGACGGATCTCTACGACTAAAGTAAAACATTCAAGCAAATGAACGACTTCAACCAGTTGACATAGGGTCTGATCCTCTTTCGGTGCAAATTGAATAATGCGGCACCCTGTAATCGCTGGTCATTTAAGGTAACGAGTTTTGTCTTTTACTACACGATTTTTTTTTAATATTTAATGTTAGCTGAAAGTGCAACGCAATGAATTTTAAACGAGGAGTTATTAGTGAAAACATGACACTGTTAGTATTCTAACTAAGAAATTGTGTGCAATAGTTTCGATCAGGAGAAGCCGCGTATGATCTTCAATATATGTGTACAAACTAAGTAAAATTTGCAGTATTAGTAACAACGAAAGTTGCGAGTATATCTGGTACAAATATGACTTAGTGTGTCCCTTCTGGTGCTGCGCATAAATCCAAATGTCACCTTGGCATATTCATAAGTGTGCTGGAAACGCTGGATAAGACATGAAAATAAATTCATTATGACGTCAGCTACATCTGTACCCGATAAATTAATAGGTAATGCCCAATTTTACATAAATGCTGGTTGAATTCATTACATTGTATACCTTAAGCTAAGCGGCACCACCCTATCATAAATCAGGTTAGTGTTGAAAGGCCAAGGCTCAACACTCCAAACTAATAAATTTTACATTGTTGTAAGAGGGAAAACTGCCGGTTTGGTGAGCGTCTAAGTTTCTCCTGCAAAGATCTCCCTGTTTCCCTGATGAAAACTATGTCGCACTCACGGGAAATCATGCAGATCACCCCGCCTTGCTAAGCAGGATTGAATGCTTTGGAACGAGGTAAAGATGATTTATAGAGACTCGCTGGTATTATACTCCCGCACTGTAGGGCAATGCAAGCAATCCACATGATGAGGCTTCACCCCAATAATTTCAACAGGGATAGTGGAATTGAAATGAATGGATGTCCACGGTAAGAAAACACAAAATGAGGATGGCAAATTAGTGGACAACCGATTGAACAACTTCTTCGTCTCACAGGAATTAACTTAAATACAAACGAACCTGGCGGCAGAAAAGTACTTGCTAATCATTCGACCTCATCACCTAAAGTAGACAAGCATGAGTAAGCAGTCATAACGTCGAGAGACAAACATTAAGATAGGGAGCAAGTGTTTTCCATAACTTACCGAACTGGTACCTCTTCTCCCATATATGGTTCCTCTTTCAAAATGTCAATCAATCGTTTCTGAAGTGCGATCACTCCCTTATCAGCTGAACCTTGCGTATTATCGACAGAGAAGAAAGGACGAATCACGTGACCATCGTAATCCTTCCCCAAAATTTCCTGCTGAATCTGCAATTCAACCTCCTTGATGTCTTGATGTGATTCATCTGCATGTGTTCCTACGATGAATACTGGAGGGCGACAGTGGGGCAGGTTCTTCTCTCTCTTTTTCTCGTCATTCACTTCTGGTTTTAGCGAGCACATAGTGTTTAGAGAAACCAGCCATGACAACAAATTGTCCAAATTTGTTTCCTTATTTTGATTACTGAGATGACGCTTTAGAGTTCCTTGCTTGAAACAGGGCTCTGTAATGTCTTTTAATCCTTTGCTGAGATCGTACACTACCATGTAAACGGCTCGTGTCGATAAAAAAACTGGGTAAGACGCATAGTAAAGATGTTGACCAGCAAAGTCCCACAGATCAAGGGTCATGTGAGATTCCACTGTCGAAGCATCGCTCTGAATGTTTAAACTTTTTAAACGTTGAACAAGACGATCTGTAAGTTCTTCTTGCGGCAAAGTAGAGTCGATGTTTAGTTCAGCTGGGACGCCTGTTTTTGTCACTTCATTGTCTATTTTGGATGTACCCTGAAATAATTGTTTAAAGTGTTTAAAATTGGTTAAAATGCTCCTTTTACAGATATTATAAAATATGCCTATTGGGGCGTAGTGAAAGAGACTCGAAAGCGATTGTCAATGAAATCTTGAAATTTCACTACTCTACATACCAAACATTGAAACTTCAATATTCTGCATGCCAAGGCCTAAAATTTCAAGACTATGCATTTCGAATCATAAAATTTCAAAATTTGGCACGCAGAATCTTGAAATTTCAACATTCTGCATGTCAAATGTTAAAAATTCAAGATTCTGCAGGTCAGATATCGAATGTCAAAATTTTACTTGTCAAATCTTAGAATTTCAATATTCTGTATGACAAATATCGAAATTTCAAAACAATACCTGTCGAAAATTTAAATTTCAATATTTTGCCTTCGGCTTCAATTTCTAATTACTATTTATCAACAATATTTCACTGTTTTTAATTGACTTTAATCCCCCGGCTTATTCTTCACAACCAGCTGGCGTTGATCAGTCACTCTGACGTCAATGATTGTATGTTGCAAATATACAATGACAAAAGTCACATTAGAAAGCGGTGCGGCCGCTTAGCTCTTTTGGGATGAGTGTTCAACTCAGTAAAATGGCGAAGGAATTCACGGCTGTCAGGGCGAAGTAGAAATGGCCGAATTACTGACTAAAACGAGACGAAGGCAAGAACACGCAAAAATATCGCTCGATAGATGTCAAATTCTACTGTTTTGATGGTCCCTGCTAACGCAATTGCGTAATGGGAAAGACCATCTAAGGACCTCTTCACATGAGCCCCGTTTCCGAGATCTCGCCTTACCTTAATCCATAGTAAAATTTTCGATATGTTCATCTTAGAGGGCGGGCTGGCTCGGTTCTCAAGATCTCGGTTTTTTCAACCGGGATCTCGGTTAACGGGCTGGAAAATTTTGCCATATGAACACCTCAGCCCGGTTACCGGGATGAAAGCGGGATGAATTCTTCTCATAAATTCTGCATCGTCTTGTTTTGCCTGCTGTATTTTCCGCATCCCAAGCATCCTATTTAACTGCAGTGACATAGCTATAAGAGTTGCCAAAGCTATGATAGTTATAACTTTTGTGTTTCGCCATGTTTGCTTTGTTTCTCGAATTTCGCGCAAGAACTCGTGCCTGGGATCTTCAGTCTTTTCTCATCTCAGAATCAGGGCTGAAATTTTTCACGACAGACGACAGCTATGCGCCTGCTGACGCGTTCGGTTTAACCACAGGTCGCCCAGACTCTGTATTTTATGGGAGTTCGTTGGAATTTGAATTTTATAAGAGAATGTACTGTCAAACCTATATTCAGCGGTCACCTGTCAAAGTCCCGGAAATCGCTTCGCTTATTGCGCGCGGTCACCCTTTCTAAGGTCCCAAAGTGCTGATTTTATTGTTTTCACATACATACATACATACTTTATTGAGACTCCCTTCAACAGGGCTTTTGAGTCACAATGTTAATTATTACATAATACTGGTAATTAAGAAAAGAAAAGAAAACTTATTTACAGTAGTTCAATGAAATTCAAAATATATTCAAAATTATTCAAAATATATTCAAAATTATTTCGTATGAAATATCCTATTACAAAGTCTCCGCTTAGAACTATCAATATCTTTAGTGTTCCTAATATTGTCAGTTAGCCCATTCCATTCCTTTGGACCCCGAAAATAAAATGCCCTTTGTCCCACTGATAGTCTACATCGGGGGACCACAAAATTGTTACATCCCCTTGTGTTCTTGTTGTGAACTGCTGAACGTTTAATAACATATTTACCTAAATAATCTGGAGCTAAGCCATTTACACATTTTAATACTAAAACTAAGCCATTAAATAGAACCTTCTCCGTAACATCTAACCATTTAAGAGATCTCCGTCCCTGGGAGATATGGTCAAACTTCTTTAAACCTTTAAACGGTCACTGTGTTTACAAAAAATAAATTCTGGGAGTCAAGTACAGCAAAGTGAAAGTCACGAGTGTAACTTGTTTCCACAAATGTCTCGAAATCAACTGTCTGAACAGTAACGTTCGGTTATTTTCAACCGTAGTGTCAACATTGAACATCAAATTGATCTTTAACTATAGCTTGTCTTTTAACCAATAGCACGGAAAATTGTCCCCTTCAAATGATATTCACAAGGCACTTCTAAACCATAACCAGCTCCTCTGTTAACACGTTTTCCTTTAATAATGACCCCGGCAGAATTTGAAGGTCTCTTTAAAAACTTCGTTAACCATCTTGCCATAAGCTTAGGAACGTGCCCGATTACATCGTATTTGTTTGTTAAATTGTTAGGGTGAAATGGAATTGTAGCGTGGCCATGAAACTGTAGCGTGTACGACTGCAACAACTGGCAGAACAAATTAGGAATTATGCGCAGTTCTATGGAAATCAAGAACTTTCATTGGCATTATAAGCAAAGTAAATGATTTGCTTCACAGCATAAAGTTGAAAACTCCTAAGCATCAGTCTCTTGTTTCAGACTTTTTCAATTCCTAGAGCGAACTACCGACTATGCGGACTTTTTTATTAGAAAAAGGAAGACGAAAATATGTGATATTCTCCTCTATCTGGATATAACTGCACATGTGTTATTGCCGGTTTCTAACATAACTGAGTACTGTACAAGAGGTTTCAGAAATTATCTGAGGCACAAACGACCTCACGTACAGTTTTGGATGATTAAATTTTTGGACCTTGAGAGTGGGCGCTTATTCGAGGTGGGCGCTTATTAAATTTTCCACCATTTTCACGGCAAGTGCAGCCTGCGAAGAGCGAGGAGAAACCGCTGTTTTCGCAGGCTACAGCAAGTGTAGTATGTTTATTTTTTCAACAAAACAATAAATGGTAGTAACAAAACGCGAGGATGTAACAAAGCAAGGTTTCTATAAATACTCTGAAGAAAACTCCTTCTTCGGGGAAGTCTCTCATTAGTACTTATTCCAATTTTTTGAATGGGAGGGGTGAGGGGGGTGGGGGCTTATTTGTGTACGAGTGAGAGGGGGATGGGGTGGGCGCTTATTCGAGGTTGGGCGCTTATTCACTTTTTTCCTTTAGGATGGGCGCTTATTAGAGGTGGGCGCTTATTCGAATAAATACGGTAATTTAAAAATACAAAAGATAATCAAGTATCAAATAAAACGCCATTCCCACTAACCCTGATGTTTCGACTGATGTTAAATTTTACGATACCCGTATTAAGCGGTCACTTAGCCATTCCCCGTGGGAGATTTGTAAACACGTGCTCTCTCTAGAGAACTTTTACAGTGGAACCCCGCTTTACGGACACCCGTATATAACGGACAGTTTCATTTGTGCCAACGAAAAGCTCGTATATTTTCTCTAGAATTAAACCGCTTCATACAGACACCGGTTAATAAGGACAATGGACACTTTTCCGTGTCCCGAGTCGCAAACTTTCATACATCGTCAACCCTCATTTCGGACACTGGTTACCTAAGCACTGTCTATTTTCTTGTCACAATCATTTGCTTATTGTAGACATTGTACCCTGTCCAAATAATAGCCTGCGTAGCAGGCGCTTGGAAGTAGTGGGCGCAAGAGAAAACGGGCGCGCGCGCGAGGGAGACACGCGCCCGTTTTTTCTTGCGCTCACTACTTCCAGGCGCCTGCTACGCAGGTTATCCAAATAACGACTGATTCCTATGGGTAAATTCGACCTAATTACTTAAAAAACAGTAGCAAAATAGCGTGGCATCTTTGAATCTGACAAGTTCATCTCTTCTTCCCATGTTTGACCCCCGTACCGTAGTCCTTTAATAACGTTTTGTGCTTCCTGCTGCTCCAGAAGTCTCATTTCCTCGGATTTTCCTGCAGTCATTGATCCTACCGTTCCTCTCTTTGTCTGCTTTATTCTTTATATCAAAAAAGTATGTGGCCGCGGCCCATTTCTGAGGACCGGAGACTATAGCATGTTCCTTTGGTGTCCTTATTAACCGGATTCACTGTACTTATAATATTGTTAGTATAACTCGAAATCTAAAACTTGCCAAAGCGGTTTCAAATGGCTCTATAAGCGAACCGACTGTCCTCATATATTCTCTTATAAAATTCAAATTTCCAAGATTTCCCATTCGAGTCTGGGCCGCCTGTGGTTAAACCAAACCTTCTGCCAAAAGCTTACATCCAAGTTTCATTTCATCCATTCGCGAAAAGCCTTCAAACTAATGAGAGAGCGAATGAATAAAGAAATGTGGAAACGATGAGGAAGAAAAGAGGGGCTACAGCGGACTAAGAAAATTGTGCGTACCTCTGAAAATACCCTCCATAGGTCCCCTGGGGCTCCTTTTTCTTTTCCATCTTCTTTTACTTCTTTTTCTTCTTTTTCTTCCTCTTCTTTAACATTGTTGTCGTCGACTTTTTCATCACCTCCTCTGTCATCTTCCTCTTTGTCTCCATCATCTCGGATTAGTTCTTTAGCTACCATCGTGGCAAGATCAAACATAAACTGAGACACACCAAGATTTTCATTGGTGAGTTTCCAGTTCTCAACTTGATCGACTGTAACTTCGAACTTTGATGGATCAACTTGAATTCCGTCAGTACTGTCTTCATGAGGGTCAAATGGTAGACCTAAGAAAGATTTCTTCAAACTTGTCTTGCCCGCTCGATCTCTTCCCATCAGCATGATTCGAGCACGGTACAACTTCACTTTTCCTTTCTTTAGAGCATTTTCATAGGCACGTTTTGCTCTTGGTCCTCGTGCTTTAATCTCGGCCGGAACGGCATCTAAAAATATTTATAAAGCAAATTTGAGTCAAAGAGATAAAAATTACTATATTTCTTCAGATTTGCACATTATTTTCACTAAATTTAATTAATCCTCTCTTAGTATCTTCCCCTGTTAGGGTGGATTCATTTGCAACAAACGCGTATAGCTGTCGCATTTGCCCGCTCGATTTCTTTTATTGTTTTTAGACCCAAAAACAATAAAACATTCCAGCGGGCAAATCCGACAGCTATACGCGTATGTTGCAAATGAATCCAGCCCTTTCAGTCAGTACTTCTTAAAACCACAAACACTGTAGCTTTAATTAAAAATTCCAAAATCCAAATGCCAAAAGCTTGAGAGTAAAAATGATTTTAAAATGGTGACTAACATAAGAGAATAAATAATAAAAAGCGTTTAAAATATATGGGTGAAAAAGTTAAAGTAACACACTGGTGAACAAGAGACCCTTTAACACAAGATGCAAATGGCACTTTTTTGGTACGTTTTCCGATCTTTACATACAAATTCTTGAGTTTCCTTCACATGCATATAGCTGTGGACAGTGCTTTCATGTACTTCTCCAAACAGTTTCATGCGTCTATCTAAAGAACCCAGGTGAGACAGACGAGCTGCTTTGTACACAGGTAGCCCAAGCTCACTATGAGAGCCCTGAACAACATTATCCTACTTAGCTAATTAATTATTCATACGGCAAGAAAATTATAAGACGTTGTATGGAGAACAAGAATCGCCGAAAGGCGATTTTTAACTGGGCTGCAAAGGGGCTATTTTTTCTGAGGGGAGGGGGCGGCTATACAGACGTAGGCTACTACAAAACCTTGTTGCCGACCATTGCATGCGACAGAACCTCATGTGAGATTGAAACATAAACTCATTCAGAACATTGTACCCTTTTGAAAGACTTTCGTAACCAAAAAAAGAGTACCATTTTTAAGTGGGGGCTGTATGATAACTTTTAAATTCCACCATTATGAATAAAAATAAAGAAGTTAGCCATTAATTCTAAGCAGGAAACGATTTGCATTATTTTCACGCACCCCTCCCGCAATCGCTCTGTGCCCCCAAATATAGCGTAACAGTATAACGTGACTAATTTGACGTAACCGGAAATTCCAAAACTTGTTCGTTCTACGAGCATAAAGTGCGACGGACGGAGCTGATTTACACTAGACAGAAATATTGTATTATATGTAAACCAGAAGTATACTAAAACAGACAGCCAGCTGCCCATTGATCCCGCCTGATCCGGGGCCCTCTGACTGCACTGAGACTTTGCTGCGCTTTTCACAAACATGCGAACTCTAAACTTCAAAAGCCACCTTCACAATTGTGTTTTTCGCTGCCGTCAATCATAATTACGATCACAAGCGACGAACCTTGAAACAGAGAAACACAAAACGGATCGAAATCCACAAATCACAAACCATGACCTTTTGAACCCGTGAAGTAAAGTTCTGTTTCGTAAGAGGTCCGTTAAGATAAGATGATTGACAGCAGCGAAAAACGCAATCGTCGGTTGGCTTATTCGCATGTTTGTGAAACGTGCAGTAAATAGACGATCGTAATTTGCGGTCTACAGTCTACATGAAAACGCACTATTTTTTTCACAAGATCAAAAATATTCAGTTTTAAGATTTTCCTCTTGGTATTTTTCTCTTACTTAAAGGAATAAAATCCTTTGCATTCTGTGACCTAAAAAAGTTTAAAGATTTTTCGCTCGCAAGTTGCTCTCATCAGCACGCACTTCAAACAATGTAAATAGTTGAAACGATCGACAACATATTCTTTACCTGATACCGATATGAGTTTAAAAAATTCGCTCGAATTCATTGTTTGTCTCACCCATGGCTAACTTTTCTTCATGGACGATAACTACGCCGCTTTATAACTCCTCTGAAGTTTTTGTGCCAGCTAAACAATATGGAAACACTATTCACAGTGACTCCTTGGANCGCTTTTCACAAACATGCGAACTCTAAACTTCAAAAGCCACCTTCACAATTGTGTTTTTCGCTGCCGTCAATCATAATTACGATCACAAGCGACGAACCTTGAAACAGAGAAACACAAAACGGATCGAAATACACAAATCACAAACCATGACCTTTTGAACCCGTGAAGTAAAGTTCTGTTTCGTAAGAGGTCCGTTAAGATAAGATGATTGACAGCAGCGAAAAACGCAATCGTCGGTTGGCTTATTCGCATGTTTGTGAAACGTGCAGTAAATAGACGATCGTAATTTGCGGTCTACAGTCTACATGAAAACGCACTATTTTTTTCACAAGATCAAAAATATTCAGTTTTAAGATTTTCCTCTTGGTATTTTTCTCTTACTTAAAGGAATAAAATCCTTTGCATTCTGTGACCTAAAAAAGTTTAAAGATTTTTCGCTCGCAAGTTGCTCTCATCAGCACGCACTTCAAACAATGTAAATAGTTGAAACGATCGACAACATATTCTTTACCTGATACCGATATGAGTTTAAAAAATTCGCTCGAATTCATTGTTTGTCTCACCCATGGCTAACTTTTCTTCATGGACGATAACTACGCCGCTTTATAACTCCTCTGAAGTTTTTGTGCCAGCTAAACAATATGGAAACACTATTCACAGTGACTCCTTGGATATTAAAAAGACTGAACGTGACGCGCTATTGTGACTTTGTTTACTTCTGACCACATCTTCAAGCGAAGTCTCTCTTTTCAAGCGATTCATCTCAATGCACAATAATTGACCCTTATATTAGTTAAAACCCAATGGTTCATTTACTGAGTATATTAATGCTGTTTTTGCCCCTCACATTGACAGTGTTCGTTCGTATTCAAAACACCTGTAGGAAAATAAAGGTTATATAAGTCATGTGTACTATGTTTCGAGATAAATGGATTATACGCTTTTTTAAGTTTCCATTTTGCGGTGACTTCAGTTTACATCTCCATAAAATGGTAGAAGAAATATCAAGAAACATCACGAGAGCTGAAAATTTTCAAAGGCATGTTTCTGGAACTCGCTAATGCTGACATCAATATAGCGTGCTTACTGAATGGGCGAAAACACAGAATTGTGATCACAAGATCATGTACAAATTTAATGATAAAAGCTTAGCAAGATACAGATACAAACAAAAGCAAACCCCCTGAAACCTCGACGTGGGCTACACTTGTATGCTCTACTCAGTCACCAAACCTTGTCAGAAATAGCTCCTATTTTCCTCTAGTCAAGCCTTGAACTTGTGTGCGAAATTCTCAGAGTTCCTATTTTTGTCCGTGTCGTCTTTATCCTCAGTATCGGAAATTTAGACCTCCAAATTAAATAGAAGGAAATATTTAAAGGAAAAGCCAGTCTTCTAACATGGCAAAGTTGTCACGTCCCTCGTTCATGGACGTGCGTACAGGCATCAGGATTCATCTGACATTCATCGGCAACTGAGTTGTTCGCTTCACTGACTACGACAGCTTACAATCAAGTCTTCAGCAATAGTGTCGTCAACTGGTGAAATACTTTGCTCCCAGATGTCTACTGTCATCTGGGTGAAAAACTGTCGCTCAAAAAGAGGCCTTAAACAGTGCCTAGGAGGTCTGAAATGCAGTCAGAATACAAAGAAAAACAAGAAGACGCTAAAGGTAAGCTTCAAAGTGATATTCAATGTACATTTTGCTAATTTAGTGAGCAAAGAATATTTCTCCATACAACGCCTTACAATTTTCTTGCTGTATGAATAATTAATTAGCTAAGTAGGATAATGTTGTTCAGGGCTCTCATAGTGAGCTTGGGCTACATGTGCTTTGTAGTCATGCATTTCGTGTTGCGCTCTACCGAGTGTTTTGCAGCTGTCATCATTGCTTTCATGTTCTTCTCCAAACAGTTTCCTGCTTATACCTGTTATATCTAAAGAACCCAGGTGAGACAGAAGAACTGCTTTGTAGTCATGCATTTCGTGTTGCGCTATACCGAGTTCCATGTAGCTGTCATCAGTGCTTTCATGTTCTTCTCCAAACAGTTTAATACGTATAGCTAATGCACGCTGGTCAGACTGAAGGGCAGCTCTGTATTCATGCATTGTGTGTTGTGTTACACCGAGTAAATAGTAGCTGTCAGCAGTGCTTTCATGTTCATGCGTATAGCTAATGCACGCTGTTTAGACTGAAAAGCTGCCTTGGAGTCATGCATTGCGTGTTGCGTTACACCGAGCTCCCTATAGCTGTCATGAGCTGTCAGCAGTGCTTTCATGTTCTTCTCCACACAGTTTAATGCGTATAGCTAATGCACGTTGGTGAGACTGAAGAGCTGCTTTGTAGTCATGCAGTGCTTGTTGTGTTACGCCTAGTGTCCTGTAGCTGTCAGCAGTGTTTTCGTGTTCTTCTCCAAACAGTTTAGTACGTAATATTTCAAAAACGAGTGCGAGTGTTTTACCGGGGTTTCCACACAAGTAGCCTACGAAAACATCCGTTTCTCTTCGCTCTTCGCTGCTGTGGACATATGTTTTCGCAGGCTACCACACACGAGAAAACTGATGAAAGCCCGAGGCCGTTAGGCCCAGGGCTTTTACTGTTTTCGAGTGTTTGGAAACACCGGTAAAACACGAAGTACGAGTTTTTGAAATGGCTTCTCAATCGGCGCCTAATAGTTTGTGATGATAATGTCCGTGTTTTTCACAACCGAAGCTTGTTTATTTCAAGTAGTCACAATTTGCATTCAGTGGCGTTCTGCTAGTTCCGAAACATGGACGGGTTAGCTGAGAATGAATCTTGCCGGTTTTGACCGCCCAAAAGTGTGCAAGAAGAAGATTCTTGCTTGTACAGTCCAAGCCTAAAAGCACACGGTATAATACAACTGGGCCGTTGAGGTTTTCAGAACTTGGCACGCAGCGCGCGAGCAAAAATTCTGTATACTTGACGAGGGAAGCGTGTTCAAAGATTATGATGTTTACCGTGTGCAAAGTCTCGAAGAGAAGTTGGAGGACCTGGATAGTCTTTCCCTAAACTATTGGCTCACAAAATTCGTCCAAGAAGTTGCTAAAACGGCTTGGAAACTAAAATTTGATAGCATTTTGTTTTGAATAAGGGTATAGGCATGATTTTCAGTGGAACATGCCTAGCGAGCGTAAAAATTGCATTCAGTCTGAGGATTAATGAGAGAGGGACAATTTTATATATTTAGGCATGACAAAATTCAAGGGAACATTGGTACTTAGAAATTACATGTCATAGGCATGGAAAAAATGGGTTCATGCCCTCGCAGCCCAAAATTGACCCAGCTAAACTTAGGTCCCAGATCTCTCGCCGGGTTGATAATTCATTCCCAGTTTTTGCTCCTCTGGTTTGGCATGCCGGGCATGCCGTTGGTGAAGCCAGTTGGTTTGGCATGCCCGGCATGCCAGGCAAGAAATTGGCATGCCCAGCGAGACTGATTTTGAAGTTCGCTTCAGCATCATACCCTGAGAATCACATATTAACGCCAAATATATCTTAGGGAGCTTGAAGTTACAGGTTTCATGCCTGGCAATAAATGCAGATTATAACAAAAAAGTCATGTTTGTCACAATGTGTGTCACGGGATCGACTGGCAAAACTGAAGACAGAAGTCTGGATTTATAAATAAAAAGCACAACAAAACTTCATTATTCATGCATAAAATAGAATACTTAACTTGCAATCAAAGATTAATCCTTTTATTTCAAACCGATACTGACATTTCTGGGTCCAGATTTAAATTTGTTCGCGGAAAAGCGTCTTAAAAAATAAGATAACAAATCCTCTCAGTATAAACTTATCCATGATTAAGTTTTATCGCGTCGGAATGTTTCCCGGTCAACAGCATTAAAAGACTGGTGAAAATTAAGCTTACCAGGTCGTTCAAGTCAGTACGAGAGTACGACGTTAATACTGCAAAGACGTTCTGATTTGGAGAATTTGGACTGCCTTCTCAGAGAGATTTTGCTTAGTTTTTCAGTGCGCTTCTTTGTCGGCTATGCGAATCTCGCAAACTGTTTTACTCCCGTCCTTGCTGACGATAGTCCTTTGAGCAACGTCATCTGCCTCATCCGAAGATACCCCGAGCACGCACGAAATCGTTCGAATTTCCGCAGAAGTGTTTTCGGATGACGATGAATCTAGGTTGTTGTAGCGTGGCAGTTGTGGCGTCACGATGTCGTCATGTCTCTACGCACTTGTTTGTCTTTTTTTTCTGCGGTGCATGGTTGAGATGTTGGTGAATGCTGGACAAGAAGTGGATTCTGCGAGAGACTGTAAGTACAAATTTAGTATTAATTTGCTAAAGAAAAAGCCTGAATATCGAACAAATCCCGTGAATTAGCCTTTTGCATTCAGTTTATCTTGCTGTTGAGCATGCCTAAGAACTCCGGCATAAGTGGTTGTCAACTCGTTCACTTCGGATTGTTTCTGTTTGTATGTCTTGTAATCTTCTTCTGCTGCTAAGAAGACTAGAGAAAACTTCAAAAATATAAAAACCAAACCTAGAAAAAAGTCAGATCTAATTTTATAGCTCGAGTATAATTATTTTTGGCACCTACGGTCATACTTTTTCACTGTACTGGTAAAGTTACTTATTTTTGCTGCATAGTTTGACCGTTGTTTGAAAGACAATCAAACGGATATTACAATCACTTTTGCAGACAAAATAAAATATCCGTAAATCAAATGCCAAAATCAGATTTGGATTTCGCTTTAAAAAAATGAACATCCTGCAGGTGTCAAAGCAAAGTTGTAAACAACTGAATATAAGCAGTCTGTGAATGTGCGTTTAGGTCCACAAAACTAATTTTTCTTTTGGACATCTCATCCAAGCAAAGACTTAAGGCTTACATTGCTTGTCTACGAGTGTACTACAAAATACTTTGCTACAGTAAGCCTCTGAGAGGCGATTCTGGTAAATTTATAGGACGCTAAAATGCAAATAATTCTAAGCTTAAACAACCTGGCTGGGTCCGACTTTTGAATTACAAAATGTTCACGTTTGCCGGCTCTACTTCAAATGAACATGGTTTTTGAAATCATTTGTACTATTTTAACCCGAAAATTATGATTGGGTTATAAAGCTTTTAAAACGGACGAAAACTAAGCTAATAAACGTGTTCAATGTAAGAAACTACGATTTAGTCGCTTTTTCAACTTTGCTTTTTGGGCCGAAAAATTTACCTTTACGCAAAAACAAAAGCAAACAATGAGGCGTTTATTCGACATATTTTCTGAGAATTTTATCTGATCAGTTTAATGTCGCTAGCATTGTTTTCGTATAGGAATTTTCCTAATTATATGAGCTTTTAATTTAATAATTTTGATACTTTATAAACTTCTCTTTTGATAGCTTCACTTTTTTATACACCGATTGAGAAACAAATTCGCTTTCGTTAAATCCTATTTTATGACCTATTTATTAGAACTCTAGGTAACATACGAGATGATGTAACCGGACAGGCTTTAACCTTTGGTCCTAATTTATTTTTTCTTCGCAACCCCTAATCAGTTGACGGGCCGAGAGAGAATATCGCCAGAAAAAGATGCGAAAAAGTCGCTGAGTTTCCTTTACATATTCCGGCTTTATATGGGTCTACACCTTACCTGCGTAAATATGAGACTGTTGTTCAATTAAGTGTCAGTCAAACTCGGTATAATCTTGACTTGCAAATCCAAATGCAAAGGTTTATTTCGCAGTAGAAGAGCGTGTAAACATCATCGAACAACGCAATGTAAATTGGCTAATGTGAAACCACGTTTCTTTCACTTTATTTACCATGCATTTATCTCAATTGCACACTCTTGTGAAATTAGCCTCAGACAATTAGTTGCGACCTTTAACAAGACTCAACAAGCCAGTATGAAAATATGTTAAGAGAAGCTGAGCTCTACATGTTCTATTTCTTTTTTTCATATTGCCCTTGCATGTGTTAACATTCCATTTCTTTTTTGTTACAGGTAACTTCCAGACATGACGAGGAGATAATTACTTTTCTAGAGAGCAATTCTTTGATACTGTCAGTTATAACTGACTTACTTTGAGTTAAAAACAAAGAACACAGACACTGGTAATGACACAAAAACATTAATCCCTGGCAAGCCTACAAAACAAGAAAGAGGAACTCAGACTCCTTATCAAAAAATGAAACAAGATAAAAACAACTTTTCTAACGTAGGGAAAACTGCGTTACAGAGATTTGTAATTACAACGTTATATTCAAGCACATTGCATTGTCAAACATCATAATTTACTGAATAATGAACAGTGATTTTGGGGCTTAGCTCAGTTTGTAATGAACTTTGAAAGATATTCTATAACCTTGTATTTTTAAAAGCTTTCATGGAACATAGATGCATTTTATTATACAATGAAAATAGTCTCTGTCTCTCTTTTTACTGATTTCAGTCAATTCCATTTTATTCGCAATGTGAAATGGGAATCCTATTAAAGACTCATTAAAAGGGGTGAGGAGTTTTTACAATCCCCCAACAGGTCATCTCCACGATGACGCTGTTTTATTACTTCGGCAGAATCCCTCAGGGTTTTACTTTCTTGTGAAAATTAGAGCTTTTGTTATTTAAACTTCGCTGGGACAACCAAATCTATGAAAATGAAAGGAATAGCAATGACGTCATCGTGTAACCGTACATCAAAAGATAAGCACTGTGATCTGTTTATTTTTTTTTTTTTTTAGCCAGGCTTAAAATATCTGTAGATTCAAGGAATTATAACCTGTGCGTTGAAACATACCAGAGACCGATTTTGGCATGCCCGGCATGACCCAGATTATGGCACGCCCGGCATTCCAGAGAATTTAGCATGCCGGGCATGTCAGAAAATTTGGCATGCCCGGCATGCCGGGGATTTTGCTGGGTATGAATTACTTATTACTAGAACCTAGGCTTCTCGCGGCCTGGGTGAGAAGGTCACAGAACCTCAAATTATGCTTACAGGGCATGCGAAATTCTGTTGCATGCCAATTTCAATGCAAAACCACTCTGGGGCCACCCCCTCTATTACCAGTGAGCAAATCATTGACGATAGGCATGGGAAAAATCCTTGCATGCTAACCAACATTGAAAACGTAGCAGAAATGTCCTCAATTGCTGAGTCATGCCCTAGGGGAGGCTTTAAAATACAGAATTTCCTGACATGGATGAGGGAATTTTCCGTAAACAGCATGTGATCATGCCGGCTAGGACGTATTGCCTCCGTATTGCCCCTTTTTACAGCTAGCTAGGCTCATTTTTAGGTTCCATGGCCTGAAATGACGAAAAATTCATGCCCTAAATGTAAAAAGTCCAAAAACGTCCTCGAAATTTTAGTTTCCAAGCCGTTCTAATAAGAACGGTGGTCGCTATCCATCTCGTTCCTTGTATGGAATTGTTTGTGGCTTAAAGCGGTATTTGGAGGACGTTAATGGAGGGAATGCATTGAATCGTTTAGACAGCAGTGATAAGAGGTAAGTTTGGAGAAGTTATACTTTAATCTAGTGTGCTTTATGTGATATAGAAACTTAGAATATTTACGAAATTTATGATTCACTACTTTTCAGGTTTGCTATTTTTCGTCGACGCTTAGACGCAGAAATGAAAGACGTAAATGTAAACAGCAAACAATACAAGTAATAAAGCTTTGTTTAAGTTGTGTATTGCTTTTTCTTATTGATTTCCAAACACACGTGTTTGGATATCCAAACACGCTGTTCTTTACCGCGGTATCAAGGTGCATCCATGCGACCTAAATGCGGGCACGCTATTGGTTTATCACTTGATGAATCATTAATGAGTTTGAGAAGTACAGCTAATGCACGCTGGTGAGACTGAGTAGCTGCTTTGTAGTCAAGCATTTCGTGCTGTGTTACACCGAGTTGCCTGTAGCTGTAAGCAGTGCTTTCATGTTGTCCTCCAAACATGTTAAGGCGTATAGCTAATGCACGCTGTTTAAACTGAAAAGCTGCCTTGTAGTCATGCATGGCGTGTTCCGTTACACAAAGCTCCCTATAGCTGTCATGAGCTGTTCTTCTCTAAACAGTTTAATACGTATTGTTGGTTTTCAGTGTTACGCCATTCAAAATAGATCAAAATAAAAATCAAAACTGTTCAATACATAAAGTCCGGAATCTGGGAAATGAAAGGAGGTAAATATACCTATATATATAAAGTTCCTAGCCAAGATTCAGGTCAGAAGAATATTTCGTATACGAGATATCCGAAGAAATGTTTTCATAGGCGTACGGGAAATTTTTTGCCAGGGGCGGCGTTAAACCTTTTGCCCAAAAAATTCTCGCAAGTTGCCCGAATTTTTACGACACGTACAGTCGAAAAGAAACGAGGGTCACACGATGCAACAACATAGGCCGCACTGGCATATGAAGGTGGCTCGATACTGCAACAGTTTTTCAGGGTCAGTACCTACCAATTCTGAGCATAACTACGTCGCCATAGACAAACATTTGGAAAAATTGCCACCACAGTTTTATTAGATAAATATGAAAATTTGTCATGATCAGGAATGCAATGACATCGGAGTTGACATAGCAACGAAATGACGCGGCCATTACCTATATTACTTGCAGAATATTTCTCGGCACAGGGAACTGTTCTTACAAAATCGTTCACGGAAGCTTTTTCCTCAAATAGTCGCCTCGATGTTCTCGTAGTTAAAACAGAAACTGTGAGAGTGTTATTGAGATATTTTGGGATGAAGTTTTTATCGTTAGAAATATGGTAAAAAAGGAAAAGCTTGATGTTTGGCCGTTATCGAACTGAGAACTAGTCAGCCACTTCTTCATTTTCAGACCCATTGTTGATGCTATCTGCCATACACTATTCTACGAGCGGGAGATGATTCTAGAAAGATATGCGGGAGTTTATTCTAATCAATTCACGACTGGAAAGAGCCCATTCCAGTTAGTGCAGTGCAGTACAGTGCTCAACAGTAAAAAACTATAAATATGTAAATCAATGTATGCAGGAGCCTATCACCCTGACGTATGAAACCCTTTCCTAATAACCAGAAACTCATCACGTGCTAGGCAACCAATGTCTCGAGAGAATGTAACTGGATTATTACGCCGACGTCAGGATTTTTGTCAGATTAAAATACAAAATATTTATCTCTTTAAAATAATAATAAAAAAAACATGGCAACGTCTTTAAAACCTGGCTTTGCCCAAATTTTCTCTTGATGCCCAAAAAATCTGAGTTGCTGCAGCCCCCCTCGCCCCCCTAGCCCGTACGCCTATGAATGTTTTACCCAAATTTATAGAGATTTGTATGGAGACGCCATGCTGGTGCCCACCTGGATGGGCACCAACATGGCGGACGGAAACCAACAAAAACATTTGTTACCGAGTTTTGGTACGAAAGCGTGAATTTATTCCATAAGAAACTCATTAACACTAAAGTAATACTTTTTCTAATCCAAGAACTGTTCAGATAGCAAAATTCCCCAAAATACGTCACTTTTTTAACCTAAATGACAGCTCTCTCCGCCGTCATGTAATTGAAATATGAATTTCAGGGGTAGTTTCCTTTGTTTCCCTTGTCATTAATGAGACAACAAGTAGATCCCAGTCCTCAACTCCCACTGCATTCGAGCAGTGCCTTGTCATAAAACTTACTGGCACTAGAGTAATCATTTAGGGACCGAAAATAAACGGAAAGTATCTGAAAAATAACAAGCTTAAAAATTGTTTGCTCTGGGTTGTTGCAATTGTCAAGTGATGACAGAGCCTCCTTTAAGCACTCGACTCCGATCTTTGGTTCCTCTGTAAAAAAAGTAATTGATTCCCAAGGAGCGCAATTATTTTCCTCTTTCGTGGGAAGGGATGATGGGTGAAGTGTCATGAATTTCATGCACTTTAGAAAGAAAATGTTATGTCTTACCTTCTGTTCCGTACGGTAGCTCTTTGAAAGCTAGGGCAGTAAGGAGTTGACTGAGATATTTTTCCTTCTTGAATACAGTGGCTGCTCTTATGGCTGCATTGTATATGTAATCAAAGATGTTTTTGTCACTCGGACTCCGAAAAAGTGATTCAAGAAACATCTCTCCTCTTACTAAAATGTCGAAAACACTGTCAGCTGTTTCGAAATGTGAACAGCCTTCCACTAGACTTTCAATAATCTCTTCCTTATCTTCGTAGAATGCAATATGTGCTGCCATTGAATGCCCGGAAAGAAATTGCTCATTTAGCTTCTCAAAAATTGAAATGTAGAACGCTTTCAAACGACCCCGTGATTCAAAAAACGTCTTTCTCATCTCTTGTTGTCCCTTATATCTCGCAAATGATTGCAAAAGCTTGTGCATAGTGAATGCCCCCGTTTTAGAGCTTAAATCAATCAGCGACTTTCTCAGAAGGCTTCGTAATATCCTCATTGCTTCAATAGTCCCCGTCGTACCTAAAACAACTGCAGCCACTTCTGTGCTAAAGTTGACGGGAAGAATGCTCAAAGATACAAGTGCTTCTTGTTGAAGCACAGTTAGTCTCTGGAAAGAGGAGTCAAACAAGAACTGTAATCGGTGACTAGCTGGGTAATCTGGATTGTGCAACATTTCAACGAGACTTCCTGTCGAAGACGTCATGAAAACATCTAGGAAATGGCGCAGTTGAAAATTATCCCCTTCAGGTACTAACGAACACATTAATTTCATGGCTAAAGGGACTTGTCCACAGATGTGCGCGATTTGAGTGGAGTCTGCAACGCCTGCATTTGGAAGTAATTCAGAAACCAGAGTTTGAGCGGAGGCTTCATCCAGTGCTTTTATTCTAAGCTCCCAATGTCCTTGGAAATTAAGGTCCATATAGTCAAGAGACTCTCTTGCGGTTACAACAAATGTAACCTCTTGATCTCGCCTAAGAATTTCTTCAAAAAGTCGTATGACCTCTTCCCTAAGTGGGCGATCAGTTTCTAGCAAATCATCTGCATTGTCAAGAATAACTACAGATGGCTTTGAAATTTCACTGGGTAGTAGGCAAATCTCATCATCAATGGATAGACGCTGATCGGGTAGTTTGGTTTGTGTGGTGGGTTGCCTCAGAAAACTAAGAAACTCTGAAGTCAGATCTGCTTTGGTATGGAGTCCTCTTAATGAGATCCAATAAACAGGAATTCCTCGAGACTGAACAGCGTGTCCCACTGCAATCGCGACAGAAGTTTTTCCGAATCCAGGTGAACCGCAGATCGACACCAGTCGGGTGGACTCCGATGTCACGTGCCTGATGATATCCTCGCACTCGCTCTGACGACCTGTAAAATATGGAACCATGGACGGTAGAGTGGCATTTGAGAAAAATGGCCTCGTGCCTTTAAGGGAAAAAAAAACGAAAAAAACGTAAGTGGAAAACACATGCTGATGTAAATAAATAAGTGGCTTTATCTGTCGTGGAAGTCAGAAATAACGGTCTTTCTCAAGAGTTTAAAACTGAAATTCAAGCATAGAAGTGAAGATCCAGAAATCACTGCTCCTCGAAAAAGTTCTGTTTTAAATAAATTCCTTTCTTCCGTTGTTGCATTCATGACAAGCCGTCGAATTATTTTTTTACATTTTTTTAAGACTTAAAATCTTTTAAAATGGTGTTAAAAGAAGACGGAATCAGGGGTGCCAGCCTGCCATGCAGGAGATGCCTAGCAACCGTGTTCAAGCGAGTTTGTGGCGAACGTTGGAACGTGAGCCAACGAACTCGCACGGAAACACTTGCTATGCAGGTTTCCTTGTTTCTGATAAAATTCTAGAACCCATCAATAATTCTTTAATACAGTGTCGCTTTAACTAACTCGATGCTTTGAATGACTTCAAAGGACCACCTCAGTCGTACAATCTACATGTATCTCGGTTAGGTTTTCAATGTTTTTTTTTACTCATACCTGAATTTTTACTTTGAGCATCACGTCCGCGTTGTCCTTCTTTCAACTCATCCGACTCTGTCAAACTACCAAGGGAGTCGATTGGTGCTGTTGAGAGACCAAGGGCTTGAAACGCATCTTTGGCGTAATTCGCGCACTGGTCAAAGGTCAGTTTGTCCATCTCAGAACTTACTGAGGAAGAAAGTACATGTTGAAGACGACGAAGCTGATCTATGGCAAGTGTAAAGGTCTCCGCATTGTTTCCACCTGGGCTGAGCACACATGCGTGGAAACTACCAAGAGGAACTGCACGGGGTTTCACGTACAAATCACTAAGCGTGGAGTAGGATCCTGTGCTGGCTGATAATGCAAAAGACGTGGAAAATATTGTAGCCTGGAACAGACTGGTGCAATCCCATTCATTGTAAGACTGGTGAATAGGAACTTTAGTCCTGCCGCCCTCTGTAGTGGCAAACAAATTTCTCACAGCAGTTGAATCATCCCAGAGCTGGAAACCAGGGCGACCGCCAAAGGTGCTGTCCCACATGGTTTTAAAGGTCTGTCGTAAGGCTTTTGGGAATTCATTTAACACTAACGACGAGAACTTGAAGAAATTCAATTGCTCGTCACTGAAGGGCTGCAGTGTCATCTCTGGTCAGTATTTTCAGCCAGTTGAGGAACTAAATCAAACGCAAGAAACATTTGGCAAAATCAGGTTAATTGGCAAATTTAAACGGGACTGTTCCCCTAAAATAAATAGGGAGTTTAAGCAAATCGCT